TATCAAGACTGTGATAGTCAATGCTAGTAAAACCATGGCCACTTTCTATCCATTCCAAACGGATGGAAATTGGCTTTTGAAAAGGGTTTTACTTTTTATAAGCCAAGCACGTTCAAATTTGTTTAGCACTCGACAAAGCATATCATTATCGACTCATTTATGATGAGAAAAATAAGAAAGAGGGAGTGCATTATATAATATTTTGGATAGCTAATAATCTTGGTGCGTTGTAAATAGTTAAAAGTAAGAGAGATAATTTTGTTAGAGATAGGAGTAAAGCGGGTGCATTGTATCACACTGTTTATTTTCATAACTATAACACAAAAAGATTATAGGTAAAAAAAAATGAAGGAAGAGATATTGGTATTATTGCTTTCACTCTTTTGTTTTATGTGTCTTGTGATCATATATGGAATGTTCCTTATATAGAGTCATATCCGTGAAGAATCATAAAAATGAATTGAGTACATTTTGAAAAACATCATACAACAACAATGCTACTATTCTTAAGTCTTCTCATCTTTGATTTTTGGCTAAATCATGTGAGCATTCATTCCCATAACTTTTACAACACTCCCCCTTGGATACCCACATATCAACATCAACTGCTTTGTTAAAACCTTGCTTGGAGAAACCCAGTGGGAAAAAATCATAGCGAAGGAAAAAGAGTACAACATGCATGTATCATGGATGCTCCCTCTGATATGTATCTCCCCTTGATTCAGCATTCTTCAAATTTAACTGATTGCTAAGTCGACGTAATCCAATACCATGCACTAGCTTTTGAAACGTGTACTTTGGTAGAGACTTAGTGAATAGGGCTGCTAGATTTTCATTGGAACAGATTTGTCTGACTTCAATAACTTTAGTCTTTTGAAACTTATGTGCACTAGTAAACTTTGGCGATATGTGTTTAGTCTTATCGGCCTTGATGAATCCTTTTGGCAACACTTGCTGTATTATCTTCATGAATGATAGTTGGAGTGTCTTCTTAGAAGGTAGATCGCATGAATTTCGGATGTGGTGGATCATTGATCTTAACCAAGATCATTCACAACTGCTTTATGTAGAGCAAAAATTTCTAATTGATTAGAAGATGTAGCAACTAATGTTTGCTTTTTTGAGCGCCATGAAATTGTTGTATTTCCATAATTGAACACATATCCAATTTGTGAGCGGGCTTTATGCAGATCAGGGAGAAAACCAGCATCTGCATATCCACCAAGGCTCTGGTCATTTGTGGATTTCTTGGAGTTAAAGAGACCTACGTCTGTTGTCCCACGAAGGTATTGTAAAACATCTTTGACTCCCTTCCAATGACGAATTGTTGGAGCAAAGCTATACCTTGCTAACAAGTTGACTGAAAAAACTATATATGATTTAGTACATTGTACTAAATACAACAAAGCACCTATTGCACTCAGATATAGTACTTCTAGGACCAAAGATCAATATATCATCTTCTTTTGGACAAAATGGATCTTTTTTAATGTCCAGAGAACAAACGACCATTGGCGTGCTAAGTGGATAAGCCTTGTCCTTGCCAAATCGCTTTAGGATTTTTTTCAATGTAAGATGATTAATGGACCAAAATTCCATTAGCACAATACTTGATCTACAGGCCGAGACAATATTTTATTTTCCCAAGGTCTTTCATTTCAAATTCGCCTTTTAGATATTCAATAGTTTTATTAAGCTCTTTATGGGTTCCAATTAAGTTCATATCATCGACATATACTGCTACTATAGCAAATCTAAAATTTGATTTCTTAATGAACACACAAGGGCAAATGACATTGTTGGTATATCCTTCTTTGATCAAATACTCACTAAGACGATTATACCACATTCATCCAGATTGTTTCAGCCCATATAATAATCACCTTAATTTGATTGAGAGCATACCGTGTGGTTTATTAGTCATTTCAGGCAACTTAGGTCCTTCTGGGACCCTCATATATATGTCAATATCTAATTCTCCGTATAGATACACGATGATGACATCCATAAGTCGCATGTCAAGTTTTTCTAGAAACCACCAAACTTTATAAGTAACGGAACGTAATTGCATCCATTACAGGAAAGTATGTCTCCTCATAATCAATTCCAGGTCTTTGTGAAAAACCTTATGCAATGAGTCATGCTTTATATCTTGCAATCTTGCTTTTCTCATTGCTCTTTATTTTGAATACCTATTTGTAACCCTGGGGTTTACTCTAGGCGGGGTTTGGACTATTGGTCCAAAAACACTTCGTCTTTTCAAGGAATTTAATTTTACCTTGTATCTTTTAACTTAGGCCAATCTTGTCTCTATTTTCATTCATCAACAAAGCGGAGCTCAATATCATCACTTAATATGATTTCAGTGGCTACTACAAATGCAAATATGTTGCCAATGATTATTTCATTACGATCCCACAATTCATTATTAGATACATAATTTATGGAGATTTATTTGCTTTCATGTACTTCTATCTCTTCAGGGACATGTGTCTCATCAAAGACATTTTTTTTCCTAGATGTACAGAATTATGAATTGTGGATTCGTCATTTATTTTTTTTCCTAAGTGATTTCATTTGGATTCAATATTTCCTTCATCTTCCTCTTTCAAGAGGCTAGATCTTTTAAACTTGGGGGTCTACTACACTTCAGGCGTGCAACGGATAAATAATTCGTTGCCACTTTATTTTGTCCAACGGGGACATCAATTCTTGTAAGCGCATTTGAAGCTGGTATATGTGATTTTATCACTTTCGTAGCATCTTTAAATGCATCGAGCATTTGATTAGCAATACTTTGAAGATGAGCATTCATTTTCACTTCATTTTCACACTGAGTGCTTCGTGGATCAAAATGAGATAAGGTGGGTACAACCCATGCCAATTCTTACCGTTCTTTTGGAATGGTCTTCCCCCGCCCCCTAACGATGAGAAAAATGTCTCATCAAAGTCACAATCCACACAACGAGTTGAAAAAATATCACCTATCAAGGGTTCCATATATTTAATGATAGATGGTGAATCAAAACCCACATAAACTCCTAGTATGCGTTGAGGTCCATTTTAATGTGTTGTGGCGGTGCAATAGGCACATAAACAAGATAATAAAAAATTCGTAAATGTGAAATGTTTGGCTGATGCCAAACACAAGTTGTACTAAGGAGTATTGATGGTTAGCTATAGGTCTCAGTCGAACCAATGATGCATCATGTAAGATGGCATGTCCCCGTGCAGAACATGCAATTTTGTTTTTGTGAGTAGAGAGCGAGCTATTGATTGAAACCACTTGATAAATGCTTCTGCTAAACCATTTTGAGTATGGACATGAGGAACATGGTGTTCAACATCAATGCCTAGTGTCATGTAGTAATCATCAAAAGTTTGAGGTGTAATTCACCAGTGTTATCAAATCGGATTGACTTAATAGGGTAACTGGGAACTATGCTTGTAATTTAATTATTTAGGCAAGAAGTCTCGCAAAAGCTAAATTTTGAGTAGATAAGAGGCAAACATGTGACCATCAGGTAGGTGCATTAACAAAACCATAAAATATCGAAATGGTCCACAAGGTGGTTGAATAGGCCCATAAATATACCCTTGAATTCTTTGCAAAAATGATGGGATTTAGCATCAATCTTTAATTGTGATGGTTTAATTACCAACTTCCCTTGAGAACAAACCTTGCAAGGGTTATTATGTCATATAGCAATGTGTCTACTCAATAATGGATGTCCATTAGAGTTGGCAATGATTTTACGCATCATGGTGGATCTTGGATGACCCAGACGCTCATGCCAAAACATGTAAATTTTGGAATCAATGAACTTCTAGTTTATGACAGTATGTGCTTTAATTGTCTTTATGTATGTATATACAATCCACTCGATAAACCACGCAACTTCTCTAATATACGCATTTGGATGTCATTGGAGGTAATGTATAGATATTCCACATTTTATGGACCTTTCGTTTCAATGTGGTATCCATTTATATGTATGTCTTTAAAACTTAACAAATTTCAAGTAGAGTATGGACAATATTGTTCATTTGGCTAACATGAACTGGACTTTTCCTGAGCCTTCAATTACATCTAACATGAACTAGACTTTTCCTGAGCCTTTAATTACATCTAATTGGCCTGATATTGTTGTTACATTTACTTTTGTAAGCATCAAACTTGAGAAATATTTTCAATCACGAAGTATTGTATGCACGGTTGCGTTGTTTGTAAGACAAATATTTTCACCAATGATCTTGTTTGAGAATAACTATAGTTTTTATCCATACTTTCTGAGTAAGGGAATCGTAGTTAAAAATAATTTATTCATAACAAAAAGAAATTGCAGTGCCACTTTTATTGAATTGAAATACGAGCTTTAAACTACAAATTTAGATAATAGAGCAAGAGTACATTAAATATAAAAATGATTCAATTGGACGGATATGCTTCATTCCCTTTTTCCACAATGAAGTCTAAAACATCTAGGTGGGCTATGTTCACTTGGCTTGATAAATTGAACATTGGATCAGGTGTATCTATTGGTTTAGTTTGGTCAATGAAATTGGTTTTGGAACTCTTCTCCTTAAGGGAGGCTTGATACAGGTCCACTAGATGTTTTAGGTATGACAGGTACGTGCCCAGTGCTCATTACCACCTTACATATGGCAGACTCCTTTAGGATTTCTATGAGTGCTATTCATATGAGCTTTACCATTGTGGCAATTTACATTTTTAAAGCTCAAACTTGGATTATGCCTTGGACCTTGGTTGTAAAATTGGACACCATGATTCTTGCATTTCCCATTCTACTGGCCTCACCTGTAATTATTGCCATGTGAGGATGTGTTGTTCGTTTTAGGGAAGCAACATTCACTTCTGGGAATGGTGTCGAACCAATAGGTCAGGACTGATGGCCTTTCATCAGGAGGTTATTGTTCTGTCCAGCCACAAGGAACATCGATATCAGCTAGCTATGGGCATCGATATCAGCTAGTAGTCCTCAGTAAAGCCTCGCTCTCTTACTACTGTTGGAAGAGCACATTGGAGGCATGAAAGTACTGAAATTCTTTTCCAACATATCTTCCTCAGTGGTAGTCTCCCCACAAAGTTTCATTTGGCAGCTAATTCTGAACATTGCAGAGTTATACACAGCAACTGTCTTGAAATCTTGGATTCTCAAGTATGTTCACTTATAACAAACTATTAGGAAAATTACCGTTTTCTAGTGATTGTATCTATTCCTTAATGCCTTCCAGAGGTCTAATGGATCTTCAACCGTTAGGTACTTGCTCTTCAATCCTTCAAGGTGGCAACGGATAAAAATCATGGCCTTCGCTCGATCTTGAGATGATGCATTTTTATCCTCCTTGATGGTGCCTCCAAGGTTTCCTTCCTCCAGATGGATCCTGGCGTCCACTACCTTAGTAAAGTAGTTTTTCCCAATGATTTCAAGGGCAACAAAATCAAGTTTTGGCAAGTTTGCCATTATCTTTTTCTGAACGAAAAATGAGATATGTAAGAACTTGTAATAATATGTATTCTGGAGGAATATAGTGTTAAAACTTTTGATTCTTACAAATTTTTCATTTTAATCTTCAGGCCAAAATGATAAGCACTTGAAACTTCAGGCTCAAGATTTCCATAATTTAGATATTAATTAAAAAATTATTAGGTAATTAGTAATAGTCAATACATAAGCACTGCTATCAGTATTAACTACTACCACCAAGAAGAAAGAAAAGTAATGAGGAAGGCGATTGTACCGCACTACTCTCATTGAAAGAATATAGCGTAGTATGGGCATAGTTAGTAATACTTAACACACAAGCATTGCTATCATTATTGAGTACTACTACCAAGAAGAAAGAAAACTAATGAGGAAGGCGATTATACCGCACCACTCTCATTGAAAGAATAAAACATAGGATAAACGATTATACCACACCACTTAAGTAGCAGGAGAATTTAAATATGCAATATAGGATGAGCGATTATATCGTACCACCTAAAGTTGCAATAAAATTAAATCTACAGTTTAAGATGCATGATTGTACTTGCACCATCTAAAATTACAGTAAAATTAACATAAATAAACACTAGGTTAGTAATCAGGAGCTACACAAAACAAGAAATCAAAAGTATAAGGAATTGTTATATTGAGAACTAGGAGAAGGTATGGTGCTAGCAGTTCTTGGCAAGAGTACATCAAGTAGGTAAGGCAAAGGAGGAAGAAGAATAGTAAGATCCTTATAGGAAGCATTTTTCGGTGAAGGGAAATGAGAACTAGTTAGGGTTAGAGAGTTGTGTAAATAACGTGTTATAAATAGGCAAAAGTGAGAGTGATAAATGTAAACACGAAAATCCTACGATAAATGACAAGAGAACATGTGTTGCAATCTCTTTACAAGAGAACATGACTAGTTAGGGTTGCAATCTCTTTACAACTTGATTCTTTGATTCGATCTCCGAAATGTAAGGTGGGAAACGTTCTTAATCCAAGGGTTGCGATGACTTGATCTTGGATGAATGGATGCTGCAAGGTTTTGGCTCTTGGCAATGGAGGAACTGGCACGTGTAGGGGTGCTTGGTGGTTCTTCATGAGTTTAACGAAGAACGCGGAGGGTTTTCCAAGTCTTCTTGAGTGTTTGAGTGCTTGAGGGGTTTGAGTGCTTCAAAGCTTTAGAATTTCAAAGCTTCAGCATCTGGGCATGAATGATTTTTTAGACCTTTTTCTTTGTCTTGGAGCCTCCCATTTATAGACTTTCCAAGCCTTAACTACGGATGAATTTGGCCTTGATTGTGGGCTTGATTAATTGATGAAAGAACCAAGACTCGATTTGTAGGCCAGTTCGTGATTTGACTCCATAAATTAACATTTGATTTAATTAAATTAAAATTAAATAATTCCTTTCCGCTTAACATGGGTCCTTCTTGATGACTCGTCCGATATTGATGAATCACATGCCATGTGTACAATTTGTGAGACACATGGTACATATCACATAAGCCCACGTAAACCCTTATATCCAAATTTAGTCTTTCTTAAGTCTTCCTCACTTTTCATCTTTGGCAAAAACATGTGGGCATTCATTCCCCCAACTTTTACAACATGGTGTTTAATATTCAAACGCTTGCTTGTGATTTCCACAAAATTTTTGTTGTGGATGCTTTGTAACAACCTGTCTCGAGATTTACGAAATTTTTGTATTTTCACTTTGGTTGGGTTTCTTTTGTTTAAAATAATGGTTTTTGGGTCTTAATTGGTGAGCCCAAGGGGCCCATCCCCTATTTTGTCCCCCGGTTCCCTTTCCCTTTTCTTTTATTTTTTTCTAAAAAGTCTCACTCTTCTTCCTCACACTCTCTTCTCTACCCGTACTCTCTCCTTCTGTTACTCCCCCTCGGTGCTCTTCTCTCTGACAAGAACACACACACACACTGATAGGAGCATATTTATACGACTTAGTTAGCTTGTTTTCTTTCATTTAATTAGCTAAACTATGTTAATTATAGTGTTTAAAGTTATTTTCGTGCAATTTCAGGTTTTAGTGTCAAAGTATGCAAAAAGAAGCAATTTGGAGCATTCTAGAGCATTTTTGGGCCAAGATTGGATAGTGCAAGCATGGAGGCATGAGGATGGACGAATTTGAAAGGCTTGAATTCAGTTAGGGAGTTGCAAGGGGGCCTAAAAACCTGATTTCTAGAAGGCTACATTAGAGCCACATGCACTTCCATCCTTTAATCCATTGCAGCCACATGCACTTCCATCCTTTAATCCATTGCATTCCACATGCAATTCCAACCTAATCCACATGCATTCATCATCATAACCTAGCTGTCATTCCACCTTTATGCATTCATCATTATAACCTAGCTATCATTCCTACCCATGCCATGCTTCCCCCTTTGTTCCAGCCACTCCACATGCATTTCCAACCCACATGCCCCTTTAATCATTCAAACATGCACCCTTTATTCTTTCATCATTCCAGCCACTCCACATTCATCACCAACACAATCATCAACAAAAGACCCATTCCTACCCATGCCGTGCATCCCCTCACCAAGAAATCATTCAACACATGCACCCATAATCATTCTTCCATCCTTGCCGTGCACACTCCCATCCCATTTCCAGATTTCCACAACTTTTCCTAGCTATTTTGCACATGCATTCCCTTAATTATTTCAACCACATGCACCCATAATCATTCACACCTTGCAGCCACATGCACATTCACCCCTTTCTCTCCCTATAAAACCATGCAATGCATTCATACAAACCATTCCCATTGACACACACAACTTCCCTTAGCCGTGCAAAAACCATTCACACTCCAGAAAATCCCCTTGTGCCGTGCCTTCTCCCTTACAATCCAAACACCATCCTTCCATTTCCACCACTCCCCAAACCATTCACACCATCAAACTATCCTTAGACCTTGTGCCACAATAAAGAGGAAGAGAATAGGGCATAAACGTTCATACAATTCAAGTTTGAATTGTTGGAATGTTTAGGTGTTTCTTTGATTTCAATGTTTAATTTCAATTCTCTTTGTTTTGTACGTATGAGGAACTAAACTCCCCCTTGGCTAGGGGGGATTCGAAATATATGTTTATGCTTGCAATATGATTTGATTACTTCTAATTGCGCTTCATAAGTTGTGAATTCAATTTTTTTAACTGTTTGATTGATAACTTATTTATGTATGTTTATTGAGAGTGCACGCTTAATTTTCATGCATGAATATGACGCTAGAATATAAGTGAGTTTCACCTAATAGTTATGAACTTATATTCACAAGTAGTGGAGGTTGCTTATAAACAATCGCGTTAAATGAATTCTTGGCAAGAGTATCATGTATTCATAGTTACAATTGCCTCGTCAACACTTATAATTTTCATAGAGCATAATGATCTCTCATTGTATCTCTTCTATGCATTCATGTTGAGAACCATTGGAGAATGATTTGAATTGTCGCATGCATCATCCAAATCAATAACATAAGGAAAATTTGAGAGTTAATTAGTGCATCACTGTTAACTTGGGGTGTTGAGCATCATGGTTTATTGAAAAGCAATTGGAAATCGTTTTATATGCAAGTGTAACATGTGTGGAGATGAACTCCTTAGCTAGCTTCCCATCCATTCAATTCCATCAAATTCGTTTTACAATCTGTTTTGTTTCCAAGTTTCTGTTTTAATTTCAAATTCATCCAAAACCAATCCCCCTTTACTTTATTGTCCAAATTAGTTAGAAAGTGTCTTAAGTTGTGTTTATAAGTGTTTTGATTCAATTTGTTGCACAAATTCGTCCAAATTCACCAAGGTGCTCAAAACTGCCCAGAAAGTGTTTTTAAGGCAGTTTTGAGTGTTTTGGGTGATGTTTGAGTCTTTTGGTTTGTTTTAGTATTTTAAGCGTTTAGTTTCGCATTCTTTGAGTCTAGTTTAGTGTTTTAAACTTTTTTTTACGTTTTTGAGTCAGTTTTCAAGTGATTTGCAATCCCTCCTAATCCCTGGTTAAGAACGATCCCTACTTACATACTTACTACAATTGATAAAAAGAGGGTTTAATTTGTGTGCTTAACTATTTTCGCATCAAATTTTGGCGCCATTGCCGGGGATTGGCAACTTTGCTAATCTCTTGGATTGTTTTATTTTCGTTTGTGTGTATATATTTTTAGTTTTATTTTGTTGATTTTAGAAGCAAGACATGGCACTTGATAGTGCTTCTCTTTTGTCACAGCTTATGGAAAGGTCCCAAATGCAAAGAGTTGGTACATTTGATCATAATCAATCAAGGAATGACGTGTTTTCCAATACTTACAATTCAGATTGGAGTGATCATTCAAACTTTATATGGTGGGAACCTCAACATATTCAACAAGAAGGATATTGGCAGCCCTATGAGGAGTTCTATTCAATGTCTATGCATCCACCACAACCTCATATACAATATGCCCAACCAAACTCAGGTTTGTCAATAGATTATAATCAAGCTCTTAATGAATTAATTTCTTTGGTGCAGGGCTCACAAAACCAAGTCGAGGAGGCTCAACAAGGAGAATATTGGCAACCATATGAGGAGTTCTATACAACACCTATGCAGCCACCACAACCTGCCCAAACAAATTCAAGTGAGTCTTTGTATAATGATACGGTTAGTAAGTTACTCACCAATTTGTCTCAGGGGCAAGAAGATCAAAACAAAGCAAGGCAAGATCAAGACAAAAGGTTGGACCACTTGGAAAAGCAAATTGGGCAGATAGCGGAGTTCATAGGACAATTTCAAGACCAAGGCAAACTCCCTATTTCAACCATGGCAAATCCGAAGGAAGGATTTGAAACTGCCAAGGAAATCATCTTGAGAAGTGGCAAGGAGGTTGGAACAGACCCTCAACCATCAAAATCAAATCACAAGGAGGATGAAAGATTGCAATTTGAGGAAGAGGAACACACCCAACACACGGCAAGGGAGGAAACACCTTT